AAAGAAGCCGGGTTCCCTGCAAGCTGCTCTACTGTCTTGCCACTGGCGGCCTCACACTAAGCAAACCCTGGCGGTCCGCACCGGCTCTCCTTTCTCGGGGCCTTCGGCTTCTTCTGAACAGCACACCTGAGAAGGAGGGCTTCTGCCATGGATGCTCCTCCTCTCCCTTGCAGTTCTTGATGCGCTACTTGGCAAAAGAGGAGGAGGAGGTTAAGATGTCGGAACTGCCATCTCCCCCCCCCCCCCCAGTGCGAGAAGAAGGCTCTACAATGCGGAGAGATCTTTCCGCCGTAAATCTTGCCCTAACCATTTTTGTGACATACATTATTTCCACTGCCTGCCCATCAGGCTGGTAATGAAACCAGTGTGTGTCACGAGAATCGCTATTCAAAATGTGTCATCGGTGTCTGACAGAGGCTGGGGCGGGGAGGGAGCCAGGGAAAGGAAGGGGGGAAATGAGAAGTTTTCATTATGTCTTACACGCTTGTTGAATGTCAGCAATGAAGATAATATCTGATTGCCCGTGACAAGCTGACAGGAACACTAAAGATGAACATCCAGGGCTAGATGCTGCAGTGAAGCGGTCACTTTGGGGGGGGACGGGATGACAAAACGTTTCCCTAACAGCCCTCCTCCCTGTCATGGCGCCATGGTTGATGATTTCACAAAATGTGCTCTAAGCCGGCAAGAGTTCATCGATGCTCCGGTCACTAGCTGCGAGGACTTCACAAACACAAGCAATAGCAACAGTTTGCGCACCAAATTAAAACAAAGCCGATCCCCCGCCCACTGCTGCAGGTTTGCGAATCAACACTGCCTTCGCTTTAAAGGTATCAGGAGGAGAATCAGTCCAATTCACCCCGATAATGGGGGAAATGAAGGGAGTCGCAGTCCAACAGATCTGGAAGGCATCAGGCCGGGCAAGGCTAGTCCAGTCCACCTGCTGGGGCAGCCACCTTCTGCGGGCCAGGAGGTCCCTGGGGCACATCTCTGCCACGAGCTCGGAGGCCACAAGCTCAGCCTCACCCCAGCGCTACAGACAGAGGGGACACTGCCACCACAAAATGTTGCAGCGGATCCCTAGGGTGCATGCATTCCCTGAGCCTCTGGGGGACTATGTTGAAGCTGGGGGAAGCGCAGGAGCCACACTCTAAGCAGAGCCTTCCTGTCCGTGCAAAAGGTATCATTAGCTCTTGAAGATCCGGATTTACAACCCGTTGGCCGGAGAGTCTGTGCAGCAAGAGAATTCCATGATGCAGGTTAAGTGCTTGACTTCGCATCCGTGGAGGTCTGAGGGGACAATTTACACTGCCGCACATCTGAACTGCACAGTGAATTTGCTTTCCAGGCAGCTGGGTGTTGCTCCCTGGGCACAGCCCTTCACCCTGCCCTGGGGCATAACACAGAACTACCCTGCAGGGTTGTTGTAAATGATTCAGCGCTTAACCTGGAGAATTCAGCCTGAAAGACACTGCAGGGCTGTGCTAGGTCACTCTCCTCAATCCACCACCTTTGCTATGAAACACAGGGACAACGACTAAAATGCTTTGGAATTTGCATGGACAGAAAAAATGTTTTTTCCAAGTTTCACACTAAATCAGTGCCGAACTAGAATGGGCAGAGCAGAAACTCTGAGTTAATGTTGCGTAAGTTTGGGGTGGAAGTGGTGGACACACTGGCAATCCCCCAAGCCCCTCCCAGTCTCCAGGATGAGCGGGCAAATACCACCAGCCAGGGCAGCAGAATTTAGGGCCACCCAGTGGAGCTGCCTGGAAACAGATGCAAGACAAAGCGTGGCTCCAAACACTGCCTCGCCGAATACTTCTACCAAAAGGTGCCGAGCGCATCAAGGAGCGCACCGCACATGCAAAAGGGGATCTGCGGCCACAGAGTGTTGTTCACGGCCAGCAGCTCAGGTGGCTTCAAAGGGGAACAGGTGGCAGGGAATGGCCGAAGTGGGCCATCTTTTCCGCGCCCCCCGAAGAGGCAGAGAGCCGGGCTTCAGGGACGGAGCGAGCAGGATGGATGCCTCTTGCGCACTTTTGCCAAAGGGCACACATGCGCACACAATACCGGCACAGCCTCCTCCACATGGCCTCCCTCTCATCTCGATCCCACTCTGCTCTGCTGACCCAGGTCCCAGACCTGCTCTGCATCCACTAACCAGACCTTGCCACTTCTCTGGCTTCGCTCCACGCCCTCCCAGCGTTTTCCGTCCCGCCTCGCTTCCTCTGTGCCACGCAAGCTCGCAGGCTGCCCGGACTGCCTCGCTTCCTCCTCACACACGCTGCCTCTCCTCCGGGCCGCTGCTGCGCTGCTCTTTTGCTCGGGGCACCAACCCCTTCTCCTCTCCTCCTCCAGCCTGAGCGTGGCCTTGCTCATGGCCCGCGGCAACAGAGAGGGTGAGACGGAGCGACCCAGCTCACTCCTGAGAAACTAAACATCTCCCTGGGCAAGACGGCTCTGCACCCCTACGTCTTCCAACCTGTAAGCTCGAACTCCTTGCCAGGCGGGTCCCGTAATCTTTTAAGTGTGTCCCTTCCCCAGAAGGCGGCACCAGGTTGGGGTTAAGGTTAGGCTGCCCTAGAGATGCCCAGGTCAGGAGGCAACAGAGGCCACCCAAGGGCACCAAAGAAAGTGGCCTCAAACCTTTCAAAGCTCTCGTGGCGTCAAAGCCTGCCGTGCTTGGACTGCTCGCAGACTGGCGCTTCTACCACGGATTCTGTTGCTGCAAAAACAACTGGCGGTACCTTAAAGCCCAGCCAAGGTGTGGGGGCATAAGCTGCTCTGGGCTGCAGCCTGCCCTGCCCATCAGGGGCCTGATGAGGGGGTGGGTTACAAGTATCAATGCATGCGGGACTGGGGGTAGGGTGCAGCCTGGAGGGCAGAGAGAACTGAAATACAGAAAGTGTATTCCGGGTCTGACAATTACCTGAAACCAAAGGGATTTTTGCTGTTACAGAAAAGTTAGTACATTATATTACAAGAGAAGAAAGAAGGCAAACAGGGCAAAAATTCACCCCAAATTGGACATGTTTTATTCATTTTTGCCGAAGTATTATTACGGAATATGCAGAAGTAAAGCAATTCATCCAAATATTCAATTCCATTTTTCAGCAACCCGATTAAATTATTTATCAAATCTACCCGTAGAAAGGAGATAAAATTGTAACTTTCGATTTTGTATAAGAAACATATAATGACAAAGAATAAACACAGGCTGCCATTTTAGTGATTCTGAGAGAGGGTGTTTTATTAATTCATGTGTATCATATGTATTATAATATGTATGGCTGCATGAAAAAGTTTAAGATGATTGCTCGCACCAGCAGAACAACAACAAAAAACAAAAACAGAGCCTTCCTTATTGACACTTATCGTTCACAGTGAGTGATAACAAGGACACTGTTCACCTGTTTAATGCATATGATCTAATGCGGGGGGGGGGATGTTTTATTGTTTTGGAATGGCCTCAACCCAAATCTGGTTGTTGCTGTTCTTTACTGGCCCCGAATGCGTGCCCTAGCAAAGAAGTCGGGGCTGCTTGCGACCCTGCTGGTCGGGGTTTCAGATAAATCTCATGTTTTAAAGAGTGGTACCCAAAACAGATCTTACCGATACATGCCAATATAATATGTAGTGCCAGCAGGAAGGAAGAATTGATAAAGAACAAAGCTGGGCAGAGCACACAGATGTCAGAAAGAAGGCAAAACGTATTAGAAACCGAGCATGGAAACAAGCCTTCTGCTGCTTAGACGTGATATAAAGAAAATTAATCATCACTCTAGAAGGGAGAAGTAGGGAGATTAAACCCAAATAGCGCTCTAATAAGCTTCCCATTTCCACCTTACTCAGCTCAGGTATTTGCGAGTCCTAGCAGCCCCTGATGAGTTTCCAGCTGAGAATTTCTAATGTGTTTTAATAATTGACACTCTGCTTCGGAACGTGGAATGGGCTTCATTTGCAGTCTTGTAAAGTTGAAACCTGTTTATCAAGAAACCAGCTTACCTTGCAGAGGCTACTTATTAATCATAACTGGCAGTGAATGAGAACCATTTGCCATGAGCCACAACTAAACTTTTCCCCATTCCTGATCAATAATAAATTACATTGTTTGCTGCCAAAGGGGATCAGACAGACAAATAAACCCAGCAAGGGAGCTACTGAGTTTTTAGAAGACTAAGACAGTGCATTTGTGGCAAGGTTATCAGAAAATGGCACACCGATCTGTGGCGGAGGCACGGGCATTTCACTACAAAGAGGTGAACGCATCACAAAGAGAAGAAGATTTAACTTCAGCGCGTGTCTAAGTTTCTCTTTCTGAGAAAGATAAGGATAGACACCGCGTAGTCAAAACTACTACCAACAAAACTGTTTTAAGCACTTTCATTCAAAGAGAAGTTCTCGGGAGGCTAGCCCAAGGGAGAAGAATAAAGTTGGAAAACAGCTGCTCTGGAGTGACTGGTGCATGACAATGATTGCTTGCCCCTCTTTCACAAGGGGCCAGGATGGGTCCCCCCCCCCACCTTCCAGCTACGCTGCCCTCCACCCTCAGCCAGCCAGCGCCCACTGACAGACAACCTGCAAGCACTTGGAGCGAAGAACTTGCCCCTGAGCTGTGCTTCTCCCAAGGCCCTGCTGCCAATTGCTTTACCTTCTGGGTCATCACAGCAGGAGAAGTTTTAATATTCATTTATGCAGGTCACTCTGGAGACATTTTTTAAATCAGAAGCGTGGTGAAACACCCCAAATAGCAATGCCAGCACTAATCCAAAAACCCCTTGCCTGTTTTTCAGGTGGAGTAAGAGCATCCCAAATTACTGGATTCTAAACACAACATCAGTCCACACGGTTCTGCGACACTTGCATAAGAGACAGACGTTTTGCGGTAAAAAATCGAGGATGCAAACAGATCTTAACAAGGAATGGCATGGCTCTCTGCCGACAGGGCCATGCCCGTGCATATGTGCTGTACAAAACAAAAGGGTACAGTTGGTTACCTCAGAAGTGGATGAAAGATGACTGTGATATTACGAGCTCCCGGTTTGCAGACAAACTTTGTCCCGCCACCGTCTATTAAGTTGTCGTCAGGTCCGCCTTGAAAGGAAACACACAAAACGCCAAAATGATTATTTTTCAGGCACTGTGCGCTTTTCTGCCTTCACTGAATGAACGCAAGCAAGATCAGACTGTTCTTAAAAAAGAAAAAAAGACTGTCCACAGCTCACACTCTTGGGAACACTGACCCATGGAGGGAGATCAATTAGTAACACTGATTAATAAGAATACAAAGGTGACCCACCTGCTCCCAGGAAAATGCACACCATGGATCCCACCCACAACCCCCTTTATCCAGGTGGGTGTTCTTCCCCAAGGCCCAGGACTGATCGGCTGCATTTCTATAATGCCCTTCTGAACACCAACCAAGGCTGTACACAGAAAGTTAAAAAATAAAAGCCACAATCAAGTAAAAGGTATTAAAACATAAAAAACAAAAAAACCTTAACAACTTCAGGGAGCGAAGAAAAGAAGGTTTTGCTGAGTTTGTATTCACTCTCAAAATACACAGATGAGGTCCCATCGGTGAGCGTGTTCAAAGATAGGCTGGACATGCACGTGGTGGGCATGTCGTGAGTGGAGCCGGCTGGAACCAGGGGTCAGACTAGATGGCCCGGGAGGCCCCTTCTGACTCGCTTTGTTTCTATGTTTCATGCATATTTACTCTGGAGTTTAATACTCCCGCTTGGTCTTCACATACACGTGCAAGCAGAAGGCATCACAACATGGTGCTGAATGAGATGTTCTACAAAGTTCCTGTCATGCTCCCTAACATCTTCTAGGAATATGGAGACTATTTCCAAACATTTCCCGGATGCAATGACTGCCTTTTTGCTCCCCTATAAATTCCTACAGAAATAGAATCTGGAAATGTCAGTGGAACATGGGAAGAACATACCACTCAGCAAAACAATTATTCATTTCCGGCTTCTGTTGGAGAACAGTTCAGATTCTGGTGTACTGCAGACCTCACCCAAACCTCCAACGTGCCAAGGGAGCAATGGGAAAACAGGTGGAAATTAAGAAAAAGGTAGATCTGTTTTTATGAATCCCTCCATCAAATCAATGATCAACTGAGTGAGGAATTAAATCATCTGCTGTAGTTCCTAGCTGTGCTATTCAAAGAAAGACTGCGGAAACCACAGTAGTATAAAAATATCAGGAAATCAGGCAGCCAGGCGCTTTCTGAATATCAGGCTGTTGACACATTCCAGAAAGGGCAGGTTCAGGGCCTGCGGGAATCTCACCCGGGGGTGGAGGAAGCCCCCAAAGGGAGCTGGTGCTCCTGGGACCAGCCTGCCACTCATCCAAGGGCAGGGAATCGGGAGGGGGCCGCAGGTGGAGGAGGACAATTCGGAAGCATCTGTGCACAAGCTCAGCCTGCACTGAAGTCAGACTTTGTAAGAAGCATTTCTCCTACTCATATCGCTGGTTCCAGCATATAAAAGTGGAACTCGACTTTGGCAGGGTGGCCAGATGTCCTGATTTATAGAGGATAATGCTTTATCTGAAGGGCTGCCAAAGAATGGCCTATTTGAATATTCTTCCAACCAACCAACCTTCCTTCCTTCCATTTCTATACCGCCCAACAGCCAAAGGTCCCTGGGTGGTGCCCACCAAAAAGAAATACAGTACAATACAAAGTAGATTAAAGCAACAAAACATCAAAAAATTACATTAAAAGAAAACACTGTATTTAAAACCACATTTTTATGAATAAACAACTAAAACCAGTCCACACTGCTAGGGCAGTGGAAAGGCAGCTGACCAAAGTCCACCGCAGCCTCCCAGATGCTGTTTGAAGTTGGTAAATGTCACAGCAAAGAAGGGGGTCTTAACCTGGTCCCAAAAGGAGAGTAAAGTTGGTGCCTGGCAAGACTCAATGGGAAGATCATTCCATAATCTGGGGCTACCACGGAGGAGGTCCTTCTCCTTGTTCCTCTCACTCCTAACTCAGACAGCCACCCCAGAACCACAGCTGACGGTCTCGGACATTGCCGAGAGACCCAGAAGTATCAAAAGGGCCACACGCCCGTCTCCCTTTCGGCCAGAGGCTTGGAATAGGGCCTTTGTCAGGCTTCCCCAGCCTGCTGCCTTCCAGGTGTGCCAGGCTTCCCAGGCAGGCTGAGGAACGCTGCCAGTTGTGGCCCAGTGCAGATGCTGGCACAGCCGGACACAAGCTTGACCTTAAGGGAACCGTGCTTTACTATCTGGATTTCCAGGAATTGCCGCTTTGGCAGTCTCCTCCCTCTTCCAAGAAATCTCTCATGCATACCAACCGTTCTTCTATTTTTCATATCTTTATGGCTCAAAATGGATTCTGGCTTCCTTGTTACAGCATGCAAAAATGACTTAAATTTGTTTTCCAGCTGCTGCATACAGGATGTATGCCAGCGCGTTGATTTAATCTGTCTGGTAACGAACGGCAAGGGTTCTGACTGGGGAGCGAGGGACGAGACATAAAGCGAAGCTCATCGCAACACCGAGGAGGGCTTCCTTGTGAGTCAAGAGATGGAGTCCACTGCTAAAGCTGCCGAATGCTTCTGTAACGCAGCCTGAAATGCCAGCACTGGGCAACGAGCGAAAGGATGGGGCGAGTGGGCTCGGTAAGCCTGCATTTTCGAACGCAAAGACGCAGCACCTCCACTTTGCAAGAGACAGACCCCCATGCAAGCAAGATTTATCTGTCTATTTATTCAACATTTTTATATGCCATCTGATACCACAGCCTCTGGACGGCTTACACATAACAACAACAACATACCAACAAACAACACACTCACTGCAGCTGACCATTAGTGATAAAATCAACGATAAAGCCAATTAAATATTAAAATGTCGGAAAAATAAAAAAGATCCAAAAAAGATCCCCATATTTTCCAAATTAAGGTGTCAGATAAATCCACAAGAAAGTCAAATGAGTTCGGATTTATATGAATCCGATTTGCAGATTCTGCAGTGGATCAGGTTTCTCTAAGTTGCCCAGATTCTGCAGACCTGAGGACGAGGTTTTCACTTTTATGGGGGGAATAGCACTAATCATACTTGTGCATATACATAAACCCCCTAAATGTGCCTTTCCAGTTGTGGATTCCCAAATTTGGAGCTGCCTTCTAAGACAGGTGTACTCAGCCTCTTCACAACTTGCTTTTAATCAGGCAGCAAGACACATTTGATTTTAAAAAGGCAGGATAAAAATGATAAATAGACCAGCTAAAGGTGGGGATATTTATTTAACAGCAAATATAGAAAGTAGAGTGTAAGAGTTCATTAACATATGTTCACTCACTCATCCTGACAACAGCCCCGGCAAGCAGGCCAACCCAGTCACTGAAAAGAGGCTTTGCAGCTAACACCGTGCAAGCCCCAATGTGAAATTGACCTCTGCCCTTGTGGGGATGCAGAAAATGTGGGAATCTGGCCCAGAGCTGCAGCCAAGAATTGACTAAGGAGAAGGAAATAAAATGCAGGCAACTCAGTAAAACTCTAAGCTTGAAGGGATGCTGCTTTCACGTTCACAGGGAACTTGTCCAGCCGATCACATCTCTGCTGCCCTCTCTCAGACTAGATGGCCCAGGTCAGACTAGATGGTCCAGGAGGCCCCTTCTGACTCATTCTGTTTCTACGTTTCTCAGAAAGGCTGCAGATGCAGAAAAACTTGGCTCTGTCCACTTTCTCCACATAATGCATAATGTTATACTTTACACCATCATATGCTTCTCCTTGCTCATACTTTTTAAAATGAAAAGGCCTCAAAGAGGGCAACCTTTCCTCTGTGAAGAACGGATCCATCCTCTGAACACTTTAGTTGTCCTTTCCCACCCTTTCATCGCTCTAGACCATCTTGTTTGAGATGCAGCAGCCAGTAATGTATGCAAGGTCCTAGATGCAGCACAGCACAGATTTGTAGAAAGGCAATGCTGTGTAAAGGAACGCTTGCGCCCATATATGCCCTCCCGCCCCCTGAGGTCAGCAGCGGATGCCCTCCTCCGGGAACCCTCTGTGAATGAGATTAAGAGGGTGAGCACCCGGAGGAGGGCCTTCTCTGCGGTGGCGCCCCATCTATGGAATGCGTTCCCCAGAGAGGTCCGCCTGGCACCGTCGTTATTTGTTTTTTGGCACCAGGCTAAGACCTTTTTATTTAAAACTTATTTTAACGGTTAATTATTTATTAACTAGGTTTTTTTTTAAGCCAAGAATGCATTGGGGGGGTGTTATTTATTGTATAATTTAGTATTTATTTATTTTATTACTTCTGTATTTATTTACGTGTTGTGAGCCGCCCAGAGGCTTTGTTGAGATGGGGCGGCATAGAAATGTTTTAAACAAACAAACAAAATTGGCATTTTTATTTTCGGTGTCTTTCATAGTCATGCCTAGCATGGAAGCCACCTTCTTCAAAATCGCCTCTCCTGTTTTCCTGTACCACAACCCCAGGATACCTTTCCTGGCAAGTCTAGCTCACCCCCATCTGTAAAGCTAGGATTCTTGGGCCAAGTCTTTCCAGTTACGTAAGCTGAACTGCATTTATTTTAATTCCTGTCCACCCAGTGCAGATAGCACCTACTGAAGTTCTGCGCAGTCCCTTTTTGTTCTTCCCACCCTGCACAATTTAAGGACATCGGCAACTGTGGCCACCTTGGGGCTCCAAATTACCCGTGAACAAATTGGAAAGGACTCCATCCTTTCCAATTTGGATCCTCCATCCTGTGCCTTCCTGCCCGCTTTCGGCTTCCCACCATGTTACCTGTTACCTACCCAGCAGATGACCTGTCCTCTTATCTTATCCCAAGGTTTGGTCAGGAACCTTTGGCGCAGGATTTTGTCCAAAGTTTCTTGAGAGCTGAAGCACACAGAGCCTGCTGAATTGTTGGCGCTTTGACTTCTTTTGCTTGCAAAAAACACACTGCAGGCAATAATCTTAAGCAAAGGCGGTATCAGAAAGCCAGCAATGGATGGCAAGATTGGGAAGGTTTAAGTCACCTCTCTCACACTCCTGGCCAAGAGACCATTATGCAAACAATGGGGCAAAGGCACTG